GTTTTGAGGGGCTTTGGCCTGACAAGAGTTGAAGGGTTTTAGATTGGATGGTCTGCGTGGTGACTTCATTGAATTGCTACTGGGGTTCTTGTTTCGGTCGCGATTGCGAGTTCACCAACACACAAGTGATCGTTCTGAACCGTCTGATCTTGGAAGTTGAACGGTTTGGTAGTTTGGGACTTTGCACGGTTGGGATCGATTGGTCAGGGCTATTGACTACAAAGGGGATGAGGTCAAAGTTGCTAAGTGGATCTCCTGGGAGATATCGACCCGGCCTTGCCAAAGGAGATTGGTGCGGTGCCACTGGACGAGGTGTGCTCCTTAGGCTGTCAGGAGTACGTGTTGTCGTTTGACACATACATCAAACCCAAACACCTTTGGGGAAGCGTCAAGGGTCCAAGAGTCATGGTGGAAGATAAACATTGGGGTGCAATGTGCACTGGACTCGTGTCGTCAGGGGTTTTGTTGCTATCTTGAAAGCGAACAAGTTTTCCAGACCGGGAGCCGCCCGCTCCTGAACGGACTTTTTGGAGTTTCAAAAGACGAGTGGACTGGGGAGAGAGAGTGGACAGACCAATCATGACTGGGAAGAGTTGAGGAAGGACAGAGCCTTCACCTTAGCCAATCCGTGTTGGAGAGTATATCTAGATAACTACGATTTACTGGAGAAGGTCGCTGCCACGGGGATGATTGAGCTCGAGGGTACGGTGCCTCCGGCTGTGTTGGCACTACGTGCAGAGTATGAGAAGTGGGAGGTGCCTAGGAACGCTAAGAAGGGAGTTGCCAGGTCTTCAAGGTGTGAACTTCAGGGGGCTACCGTTGATGGCGTGCTTGGTATTGCGTTCCCCAAGGAAGGTAAGCTGGAAAAGTACTTCAGCCTCGCCCTTGACCTACTAACCCGCCAGCGGGGGGGCTAGTCTACTTCTCCATGTTCAGGAGACAGCTTCTCGGTGCCTTGAACAGTGTCTGGCGCTTTATCGAGTCTTTCACCGAGGAGGCTCCACGGCACCAGCCACTCGGGTGGATGGACTTTCGGGGTGATGTCCGCCCTATGGTCACGTGCAGTGACGCCTCAACAACGGGAGGAGGAGTGTGCTGTTCAAAGGGCCTCAGTAATGTGGAGTTATGGCAGAGAGAGGGCACCTCAGGTGGCAGAATCCCACGCCTTTTGATTACCAACAAATCCTTGTCATTGGGCTCTTTGATGGCATTGGTGCACTCCGTGTTGCTATGGATCTCCAAGGGATAAATGTTGGAGGCTATATATCGGTGGAGTCCAACCCCATCGCCAACCGAGTGGTGGAAGCTCACTACCCTGGGGATCCCTGCATTGATGTGTGTGGCGGATGTGGCCCTGGTCGATGAGGAGATGGTCCACAACTGGAGCTTGAAGTTTTCACAGTGCGCCCTGGTGATCATTGGCGGAGGCCCCCCCTGTCAAGGGGTTTTGGGACTCAATTCTGACAGACGTGGAGCCCTGAAGTCGAATTCGAGAGCTAGTGAAGCGGCACTTCAAGTGGGCGTCATGGAGTCGGTGGCCTCCATGGACCGACAAGATCGGGTGACTATGTCTGAGCATTTTGGGTGCGCGCCTGTCAGCACTGACGCCGGTAGGATGACTTGGTGCCATCGCCCCAGGTTGTATTGGGCCACCTGGGGACTGACGGAAGGCCCCGGGGCCATCTTGACTTCAGGGACGGAGGTTGATTCCTGGGAGTTGACAGCCGACCAAGATGTTCGCAAGGTTCTTGAGCCCGGATGGGTCAAAGTTGATTGCAATAGAGCATTCCCCACCTTTACTACTGCCCGGCCGTCAAAGCAAACTGGACGCAAACCAGCGGGGCTGCGTGAATGCCAGCCGTATGAGCTAGCAAGGTGGCAAGAGGACCTTCATCGTTTCCCCCGTACCAGTACATTGACAAGCACGGGGTGATCAACAAGAAGAATGTGGTTAATGGGGTTCCCCCTCCATTACACCGCGCCATGTTTGGGCAAGCGTGAGAGCAAGGGTTCAAAGTATAACGATGCACGCCTCACGCTTCTGGGAAACAGCTGGAGTGTACCGGTGGTTGCCTGGCTATTGAATCAGTTGTTTTCGCCGCTGGGGATTTGCCAGAAGTTTGATCCTCAGGGCATCGTTGATCTTTGTAGGCCGGGGGCTGCGGAGTCCTTGCAAGCAAAACTGATTCGTTTGCCCCTGTCGCTCACCGAGCCGGACACCGGCGACCCCTACAAACTGGCCTTTAAGCTGTGCAACCTGGTCTCACTCAAGGGAGAGGACATTATGCTGACGACGCCTAGCACCCAATTGGTCGAGTTCCACCGTCTGAGGGCATCTGTGCCCACGCGCCTTTGGCGTTGGCAAGTCGTCTCTGGCTGGCGATGGACTAGAGGGCGTGAGCATATCAACTGCCTCGAGCTGCGCGCCATTCTCAATGCCCTGCGTTGGCGTCTGGAACGGCAAAAACAATTTGGTTTCTGCATGTTGCATTTGACTGATTCGCTTGTTTGTCTCCATATCCTGACTCGTGGCCGCACGAGCTCCAAGAAGTTACGGAGCACGATGGCCCGGATCAACGCTCTGCTTCTGGCATCCTCCTCTCAGGTGGTTTGGGGTTACGTCACGTGTCGACTGACACCAACCCTGCCGACAAGCCTAGTCGGTGGGGGGGGTATGTCAAAACGAAGTTTAGGAATGCCTAAGCGCATCCTTGAAGGAGGTTCGGAAGCAGAGCAAGCAAAGCAACGGAGACAGTTGGGCAGCCTCAAGTCTTTGACGGTGCAACCCAGCGATACAATGCAGCTGTTGATCAGTTCTTGGTTTTCTTGCGGGATGAAGGTTTGTCACTCCCTACCACCCGTGACAAGATGGACCCCCTTGTTTGCGACTATCTGGAACATCTCTGGTTCCAGGGCAAAGGACGTAGCCTGGCTTGCGACACGCTTGCTGGGCTCCAAGACTTACAACCTGGATTGAAGCATCGGCAACCGGTGAAGGCGTGGCATCAAAACGAGATCCCCAGCCGGGCACCGCCCCTGGCTGAGCTTATCCTCCACTCGATGATCCTCTTGATAGGGTTCTGTTGAGGACAGGGGAGATTCTCGGACTCCTTTCTTCCCACATTGAGTGTGGGCCCCATGCTTTGCAGGCCCTGATAAGTTTGGGGCTTACCAAGGGTGGTAAGAGACATGGAGCGGCAGAAAGCATGGTCCTCGGATATGAACCCGTCGTTAAGTTGCTGCGCCTTTGGAAGAAACGAGCTTCTCCAAGCACTCCTTTGACCCCTTCGCCTGCAAAGTGGAGGCGCCTCTTCAACGAATGTCTTGAAGGACTTGGCATTTCTGAGATGGGCTTTAGACCCTACTCCCTCCGTAGGGGGGGGGGCGACCTTCTTTTTTCAGAAGCACCAAAGCCTGGATAAAATCCTGGTTCAGGGCAGGTGGCACACACAAAAGAGTGCCAGGATCTACCTCAATGAGGGACTAGCAGTCCTTGCACAGATGCCAGCCTTCCAATGATCCCAAACTGAAACCCTGGTTGACGGTTTACAAGAATTTTCTCACCGCTCCTGTAATTTCCACGCTTGAGCCTCCTTGCGGAAGGGCAGGGGGCAGTGGAAGGAATTCACATGTTTCAAAGAAACCCATGAAGAAGCGAGGCAGAGGGAAAAGAAGCCTTCTTTTAATTCCTGACGTTTTCCCCTAACCCTTTTTTTGGCTGTTCACCTCTTTGTTAGGAGGTGTGGCTCGCATCGACGGAACAGCCGGATGATTCCACATCACCTTGGGTGTGGCCAGGTGGTTTGGAATTAATCCTTCAGGGTGAGGATACCCTGTGTAAGGGAGTGAGGGTTGTTCAAGTTTGACGTTATCTTTTCAAGTTTGAGAAACCTGCTGCGAAGTGGACCAAAATAGTGCTCACTGCTTTTTTATATATGTATGCATGTATATACTCACATGTATTGTATGTGTGTTCTTCCTTTCGACGAGTGTGCCCCCGTGACACGGTGTCCATTCAACCTGATGTGCAGTTGATGCACATGAAGCGGTCCAACATGATGTCAGGAGGACGTCAAGTATGGCGAGACAGAAGTCATAAAATACCAGCAGGACCACTTTGCAATTGCCCCTCCAAGGGGTCACCAATGCCAGTTGACACTTCATGTAGAGTCAAGGACATTTTGGAGGTTGAGGCGGAGATACGGCTTTTGAAACAGAGGCGAGGCATAGGAAGTCTACTACGACATTCTTAACTATTCACTATCCGGACAACATCTCACAGACCCCTTTTTGTTCCAGCCGTTTTGTTCAGGATTCACGACATGGATGGGGACAAGTCATTGCATGAAATGGTTGGGCCCTGAGAAAGCTGAAGTTTAGGACATGCAAACCCTGGTGTGTACATCGCTGTGTGCCAAACACGTGGTAGATGATGGGCCCCTGTGACAAGGCGACGAAGAGAAACGCGGTGGGCAACTCACTTGGTGAATGATCCCACTATCAAATTGGACGATTGTGGCCTACTTGAGAGGGAGAGAGAGGTTGCATTGATGCTGCTTTGTGAAGATTTCGTAAGATTTCGGGACGCGAGAATGTCGGGGACTTCCACAGGGGCCTGCGCCGCCAGAGCCGCCAGGGCCATATTTTCAATATGTTGATTTGTTCTGTGGAGATCATTTTGATGGAAACGGACAAGGTAGAGTCAGGCAGAGGTGCCTTAAAGTTTTGAGGGGTTTTCGACCGTGCTTCCAAATCGAGGCCAGGTCCAGACCTTCTTGCTCGAGTGAGCTAGAGTGATCAACACTTGTCATTGCTGTGGGCGCTTTTAATGAAAAGCTCAATGAGCAGCTCCTCAAGCCAGTGGGAGCATATTGCAGGGGCAGTGGGGAGCCCGATTGGGTGCCTCAGCCGGACTAAAATAAACCGAGTTGGACCTCCCTGCGAGTTGGACCAGAAACTTTACAGAAATTGTGTGGCGTGATCTACTGCTGTTGTTGGAGGAATTGGAGCGACAAAAAAAGGAACAGGAGGAGGAGGAGCGCCGTAAGAAGGAGCTCAGCGAACGTCAGCAGAAGCAAGAGGAGGCAGAGCGTGACAGTTTTGAAATTAGAAGTTATATGAAGTTATGCGGTATGCGTGTTGTGTATGTGTTATCCGCTGACTTCGCCAAACATTCAGAGCTCTCATTGGCAACCCGCACTGCACGTGCCAGGTACCACTTCGATTCACTGCATAACAAAGTATATTTATATTATATAGCTATGCAGTTGAATTACTGTAACATGTCTCGCATGCATGCGCATACGGCATTGCATGTGTGCATTGAGTGCTCCGATTGACTGGGGATGTGTGAAACCCTGAGTCATGAGGAACTTATCGCCCAGAAGGCTGCAGCTGCTGCGGAGAAAGTTGCAGCAGAGAAAGCTGCTGCAGAGCGAGCTTCCGCAGAGAAGGTCGCGTCAGTTGAGGTGGGATTGAGATAGCCGAGATAAGATGGCAAAGTTGGCGATGTGAAAAGTGGGCAGGATTTCAGATGGACATTCTAGCTTGTGCTCGAAGTTTGCACTGAGTGCCGAGAAGCTGCAGGTGGTTCCACAGGCAGAAGTCGTAGAACAACCAGAAGTCACCCAGGCCCCGGCGCGAAGTCAGGGCTCTTAGATAGCTTGAGCTACGGTGATTGATGGGTTTGATCGCTTAGGGGCTGAGCCCACAGACCTCCGCCCTACCCAGGCAATCCACTAAACCGGCTCACCAACGCAAGTGCCTCAGAAGTTAAGCCTGTATCGCTCGTGCGCTGATACCTGTCTCGCACTAGGCACAGAGGAACCAGTACAAGAATTCCAAGAAGAAGTTGAAAGAAATTGCTGATGTCCAGGCCGAAACGCGCTCTGGTGGAATTGGGTTCAGCCATGCATCCCACGACACCTGAACTTGTTCGTGAAGTTTGGTGTCGCAATGTTGCGAAAGCCAGTTGTGGTTACGTGAACGAAGAAAGGTAGGAGTTCAGGGGTTGACTTGACCATGCGCAAAGTTCAGACGGGCTGAAGAGTTGCCAATGCTGCTAAATGAATGCAATGCAAGTTGTTGTCCATTTCTCAGAGGCCAGCCCGTATCATTTGCAGTGTCTTGGTGAGAGGTGAGCTGCTAAACTAATATGCAGACATAATTTTACAGATCATACATTGTTTTCTGCAAATCCGATAGGTTCAGGCCTTCCTGGTACCCAAATGGATGATCTTTGCGTGGATTGCAAAGATGTGCAAGCAAGAATGGAGCCAAGGGTTGTAGAGCAGAATTCGCTGGCATTCGTGAAGTCCAAAGCAGCTGCGGGCCCGATGCAGGTCCAGCACCCCCAAAATGAACTCTTTTGCAGAGTCGCCATGGCGCAAGAATCTGTACAATATTGCGTGTCTACTTTTCATGGCTGCCACTTTGATAGTCATGCAGCCGGGCTGCACGGGGTTTTGCTATGTTTTGCTACTAGTAGTGGTAGTGCTGTCAAGCCTGGGGCCAATGGCTGACCAGTTGTTTTCACATGCCAAGGTCACTTTCAGCAGGTGGCTGGGACATCACCGGAAGCAAAGGCACTCACATGAGATCTGAACTTTGTGGCCACAAAAGGGACATCCCAGATGGAAGGACACTTTTTCAACAAGCCCCTCGCGCTTCATTCAATGCATAAAAGGTTCATGGGCTTCGTTTGTTTGGTCAGTTGAATGACACGTATTGTGATTTTGCGTTGCATGCCACGTCCGACAGCTGGCCTAAAAGGTTTGCGCAGCTGGTGGTACCGAAAGAGCTTTCAGTGGAGTGCACGACCGAGTGGACGAGTCCAACACCAGTGTCCTGTCGGCTTTAAGAGGTCGGCCATACTTGATGACAGTGAAACTTCCCAGCTCATTATCTAAAACCAAGTCAGTGAAACTTGTTGTACATAATTAGTTTGCCAGTCATGCAAATCGTCCCAGAAAGCTGCTCTGAGATGCTCTAAGCATAAACTTATTGAAATGTCCAAGAGGCTGCCCACTGTATTCGTGGTGCCTAGGTGGGACTTATCGATGTGCATGTTGTGGAGAGCCTTTATTCCCCGCTGTCGCGAAGTTCCACTCTGGGAGTGGCTGGCCCAGCTTCACTGCTCCAGTAGCAAATGCTCTCGGATATCGCAAAGACATTCTGCAATTTGGAAGCACCGAAGTCCACTGTGCTGCCTGCGGCGCCCACTTGGGGCACGTTTTTGACGATGGGCCACCAGCCACGGGGCTTCGTTTCTGCATTAACAGCGTTTGTTTGTGGCGAGACGATGGCTCATCCTCCGTCGCAACAGATCAGATTCCCTGGATTTTGAACGCATATTTGGTGTTGCTGGTGCTCTTTGGTTTTTGTGCAAGCTGCTGTGTGCTTACCAAGAGCGCAGTCATTGCAGCTTATCCCTACTATGTGAAGAAGCGAGGTCAGCATAATTCTGGGGGATGAGAGTAGGATGAACGCATTGTAGAAGTGTGGGAAGTCAGAACTGTTGAAGGCCTTGATGGATTTGCTCAGAATGATTCTGCGAACAATTTTTTCTAGACACCAACGCCAGGGATGCCCCGCAAAAAAAGAGCCCCTGGCGCTGCAAAGTATTCATGACAGCCAAGCTGCCTGAACACATTGCCTGTGAAACTTGGCCTCAGTCTTTCATATTGAGCTTAGACGACTTGATTGGATCAATGTTTTGTTGTCCAGTGGTTACATAGATATGAATAGACTCGAGGCCAAGGACCACGAAGATTTGTTGAACAGCACAGCGACCTCCAGAGAAAGAGAGAGAGAGAGAGAGCGAATGGATGCGAATGGGAGGGAGGGAGAGAGAAAAACAAATTTTAAAACACTAAGCAATATGTGTTCTATGGACATGGGTGACTATGCGACCATGGGTCCCACGATGAACTCCTTCAGCAAACAGTCTTCGCAGGAGCAGTTGGATGCCAAGAAGGCCTAGAGCCAAGTCAAGAGCATTGAGTCATTGGAGTTTTGTGTCTCATTCTGTGCAAACTTACCGGAAGTCTTCCGCTATAGGCCGACTGTGTCGGTCCACGATGGGCTGTTCCACTTTTTGCAAATGTCGACTTAATGAGGTGAAGTTCTTCAGTTTGCCAGATACTGTGCAAGAAAAGCCGATGCCTGAGCGGGATCGCGTAGGGCACCTTTGTTCGCTGCAAGATTATGTAGTCATATAGCTGATGCATGTTGTATTGTGATGTATTGTGTAGTTTGTGGGAGTTGACCAAAATTCAAAAGGTGCAGTGTAAGTTGTCGTGTAACAGTGTAAAGACCTTCCAGACTACCTTCCAGAATCTTCCAGATGCTGTCCAAACAATTGGCGAATCATCCGCAATGAGGTTCGCAAAACCATTTTGTAACTGTCACAGACTACCAAAGTCAAACCTCAACTTGTCCTAACGCAGCTGTCACAGTGCATAAACGATTCTCCGATTGCTTTCCCCACTGTCGAGGAAATCACCGGTACATGTTTGCGAAAGATCCGCGAATGCGCCGTTAAAGTCCTTATCCATCCGGTGAGATTGAGTTGTGCCAGCTGCGCATGGCCACGCTGGAGACCTTGTTCCCTTCGGTTCGGACATTTGCCGATTCAGAACGAAACCGATCAGGAAACTACGATTCAGAAACCAAAATAGCCGATTCAGAAAGTGCGATTCAGAAACCCAAAAGGACGATTCAGCGACTACGATTCAGAAACCATGGCAGTCCGATTCAGAAACCAAATGGCCCGATTCAGGAACCAAATGAGCCGATTCAGAAACCAAGCGAGTCCCGATTCAGAAACCAAGCCGGACGATGGTTGCAATGGGGTGGGGGGGAGGAGGAGTGTGGGGTGTGGATGCAAGGGGTTTTTGCATTCATTCGAGCAAGAAGATGTTTGTAGTTATATCATGTGGCTGAATAGAGTGGATGGCAGGAGGAGGGTGGGGTGGGGGGGGGGGGGGGGGGGGAACCATTGCCAAGATAACAAGCAAAGGGCTTTTTACATTCATTCAAGTAAGATATGTTATATTTACAGCATATGGCTGAATATATTTCGAGTGATGGCCAAGATAATAAGGTTCCATGTGGCTGCAAAGGGTCTAAGAACATGGTATTTACAGCAGGTGGTTGGAAACAATCGGTTGGTTTCTGCATCGTAGTCTCCTGATCGTTGTATTTACAGCGAAGTGTAGTACGCTGCCCTTAAAAGCGACGACGTCTTCACGAGCATTTGTAAGTTTGAAAGATGAAGATGAATTTGTTGAGGGTTTTGCCATGCTAGTTTGGCATGGTTTGACCAAGAGCTTTTGTTGGTTTGTGTGCTTGTGACCACCAAGAGAGACACACGCGCACAGTCTTGGTTGTGTTGTGCTGAAATGCTACTGCTACTACAACTACAACAACAACAACTACTACTACTACGACGACGACTACGTACCACCACCACCACTACTGCTGCTGCTGCTACTACCACCACCACCACCACTACCCGGACCCGGGTCATCAGTTTCTTCTTTTGGAAATGTTATATTGTTTGGTTTCCTGGTTGTGGTTACCGGATCAGTGGTTTTGGTTATCGAATCAGCGGTTTTGGTTACCGAATTCTAGTTACCGATCGGACTGGTTACCGAATCAGACGTCGACCCTTCGGTTCCCTTGATTTTTCTCATTTCCGAACCTGCTAAGTGCCGCAAGTGACCCTGGAGCAACTCTCAACCGTGCAGGTGTGTGTGTGTGTGTGTACCGCTCATGCTGCTATATACCAGTCACTAGTTTGTGTTGTTTGATTATAATGAATATGAATTTGATTATGTAGCTCTGTCACACACATGTCAACTAGACATCTTGTTTTAGGACATGTTTCGCGATGAGGTCGCGGTAAATTCTATTATATAGCTCACTTGGTTCTTCGTAGGTTTTCTAAGCCTCTATTGAACCAATGCGAATCTATAATGACTGGGTATATACTGATTTTATATACAATTGCACGCAAGTCTCCTTTGGCCCTTTTTACATTCTTGATCCTTACTAGAATACTTGGCACTGTGGCGTCACAAAACTATTGCACATCAAAAATGACTGCGACGGCTCGATGTCCAGGATGAGGCGAAAGCCAGAGTTAGAGAGAGATGCTTTGGACTCAGCTACATCAAAAAGATGTATTGACCCACGTGTTTTACCAACATGTTTCGATGGCTCACCATTTTCCAGTGGCCTTGCCACACATCCAGAGATGCCAAGGTCGCCGAGTTGGAGCGCTTGGCTGAGGCCGGCCAACGCTATCAAACAGATTTTGAGAAACTGGAGTCCTGCAGTCCCTCCAGGAGCTGGAACAAGAAGCACAGCAGGCCGAACAAGCCCCAGAAGAAGTGTCTCGGATGCAGTTTGTCCACAAGTCGGATGATATATAAATCAATAAGCGTATGACAACAAAACATTCAATGAAGAAATCAGTTGACCATTTCTTGCCCAAAACCTCCTCCACACATGGGGCTCCTTTTCAATTCATTTGCCATTCTGTCCCGTGCACAAAGTCAACCTCGGCTGGGCCAATTGAATCCAATGCGTTTGTCCGCTAGCCTAAAATTTTGAAACGTTCGGACACCTTGATGCACATAGACGCCTGAATGCGTTGCATTCCAGATGAGAAAGCCACTCAGGAGGCAGCAGAGGAGCCACTTGCTGAGGCTCCATGGCTTTGAGTTGCTATACCCGTATATCACAGCTCTTCCAAGCCCCCCTGTTTGAAGAGAAAGACCACCAACAATTCCCATACTCCCGTCCGAGAGGAGAGGGCGAGGATTCAAAAGGCTCCATGTTTTCAGAGCGTGTGCACAATCTTTAATGACCAAAAGGCCACGGGCGTGAGCGGCAGAATATTTTTATCCGAACAGTTCATGTGTTATTCAAAGGCTGAGGCTACACACATCAACTTGGAAATCTACCCTGTGTTGCGTATTGGGCCAATCATGGAATGAAATGGAATGAAAGTGAGTTTAGAATATTTTAAGTTATCACGAAAGCTAGCATCAGCTAGCTGGAGTTGCTCTTGCTTTAGCAAGTCAAGGGCTCGCAGCCTCGAGAATCATGAATCACGTGAAAACTTCACGTGTAGGGGGGGG